GATGTGGTGAGTAAAAGGTTGATCTGACTGACAAACAGAGGGGCTCTGCATGTTTTTGGGATTTACAAAAATCATGTTGTATTTATTAACACATGCAACTAATGACTGAGATCAGAATTACTGAGGCATCGAGGATGACAAACAGTCATTGTCCTATAGACTTCCATATGACCAAGCTTCCTGCTGGCCATTAGAAAGATTCCAGGTTTAAGGCACTGGTTTGTCTTTTCAGACCTTGAAGCTGTATTCCTGTGCTGTGGTCAATCCTGTGTGCAGTTTTGAGTTCTCCCTGTTCCTGGTATTCTAAATACATGCATGTTAGATTGATTGGTGACTCTAAATTGGCCACTTATGTAAGGCAGATAAAGTGGTTTGCGCTGTGAAAGTACTTTGAATGGTCAGTAAGACTAGAAGACGCCAGTTGCAAGTCCAACTTTTGTATACAATATACATTTTAGGCTGCAGTTTAAGGACACAGATATCAACTAGACTGTGTAATGTCACCTCTTATTGTCCCTGAAGAAAAAGCACAGCTTCCTTAACACAGTCAGATGCAAACTGAGAGTACCTCCTCTACTCACACTGAGTGTATTCCTGTAGCAAGGCGAATTCAGCTGGGGTCAGTGTGACCCATTTGTCCTGGCTGCTCATTGTGTTCAGGCCACGTCTCTGTATCCACCGTGCATTCCCCGTGCAGCAACACGCAGCAGGGAGTCTCACACTGGAACACAACAAGACATCAAAATCAGCCCGATTCACCCCCACAGACATCTTTTCTTTACATAATGTCAGTACGAAAAGCAAAGCTGGTAAGACGCAACAGCTTTGTTGCTGAATGAGACACAATAGGATTACATATAGTTTCTAATTAGCTGGAGAAAGCAAACATTTGTGGGCACATTTTAAAGCAAAAAATAAATAGATACATTATTTTTCCTCTGATAATCAGAGCACATTTTTTTCTTCCTGCCTGTTTCTCCTTCTGCAGCTGCCATCTCAACTAAAATGTCCCTCTTCCTCTGCTAGATCTTGGTGTTTCAAGCATTGAGATTCGTGTTTGTTAGCCAGAGCAGGATGAATAATTTAAAGTTTAAGACATGTTGGTACAAAATACACTATCATTAAAAAATGTGATCTTTTTATTCATAGAAACAAGTCCCAACACTAAAAAACAAACAAGTGATATCTAGTCCCATGTATTCACAATTCAAATTTATGAAAATTAAAAACTATCAACCCAGGAAGTGTAATATTTGTGTTATACATAATGTTACAACTCAGATATTGCAGTATATTCCTGCCTATCGTTGCTTTGGTGGTTTTGGACCTTGCACTTGGAATATGCATTTCAATAAAGTGAGTACAAAAATAAAGCCAGTTATAAAAATACATAATTCGACCATGGGTGTGATGTATGTGCAGCACTGCAGGAAAGAAAAGAAGCCCTGAATCTAAAGTCAGCTCATCTGTTTTGCTTAAATGGTTACATCACGAAATGTCTGCGTGGAGGGATCCTTGTATTTCTTTAAAAAATCCTAATGTGGACATTAAACGATTAGAGATCCGCCTTGGTGCTGCTTCAAAACATCATCCTGAGCGGTTGCTATGAAGACAACGTGATCA